AAAGTTTACTAATTTGAGTAACTACTTTCATGTTTCCTGATTACAGCACATTCTGAAAAACACACACACACACACACACACACACACACACACACACACACACACACATATATATCATATTTGTGGATGGTGTCCATTATCTTTTGTGTTGATTTAGATATATGAATAGGGAAATCTCTTAAGCTATCAAATCCACTTAAACCTGATAATGAATATAATGTCAAAGTCATCTACAGCCATCGGCATGAATCTGCTAATACATTATCTCTGCTGGTTACCATGGTAGTGACACCCTGTCCTCACAATACAGAACATAACCTCACCTACAATGTCCCTATATTACATTCAATCAAGCATGCTATTATTACTCGATCTTTTCAATGGGGAAACATTGTGAAAACATGCAGAGATACTGTATTTTTAAAGTCAGAATTTCTTAAAATTAGAACAATCCTGTTGAGTGGTAGCAACAAAATTAGTTCTATCCCGTGGATTAAAAGCACCACATATGCTATATAGAAATTTTTGTGACTATAACATTCTGTATCTGAAAAATTGACAATTTTATGCCACTGAAAAGATCAAAGTATTACCATATTCAGAATCTCTTCTGTCAGTTCCACAGCACTTACATGTATCTTTTTATTTTGCTTTCACAAAATATGGCATCTTTGGTCCATTTCATAATTTTTTGAGGCAAGTTTTCGTTCTAACCTTGTAATAACCTCATACTTTTGAAAGTCCCCTTTATAAAAAAGAAAAAACTATAACCCATTTTCAGCACCATTTATTATTACTTTGCTGTTGTTGTTAATTAATTAACAGCTTTGAAATATTTTCATCCACCACAAGAATCATTCACTTATACTGTTTTGTCTTTATTACAGCATGTAAGACTTTAATGTCGGCACTGAGATAATAAACAGAGTACACATACTTTTTTCTAAGAAAATGTGCTGAGTGACTTAGATGTATATAGCAATTAGGTTCAACTGAACAATTAACAGTGTTTCCATAAGTCTTCAACACTGAAATGGTTGCTAGGCCAACTAAATCCAACAGTCCTTTGTTATCAACAACATGACTGCATGTGCAATATTCATATGCATATTTTTTAATTAATGGTAAAGACAATTTCCTTGGACTTCTTTCCCAACGTCAGTGTCCAAATTTACCATTTGCTCTCAATCTTGATGTCTAGCTCAACACAGCCTAAAGGTGTATTTTTTCAACCTTAACGTGTGTAAAATGTGACTTTTATTGCAAAATACTATGTACTGAGACAGTATGGTTCATAAAACTAAACATGTCATTTAGCATTGTATGGAATTCAAATCTACCTCAATATCGTTCACCATTTCGTTTGCCATTGTCACAGAAAAGTGGCGTTGAAGACATGGACCAAAGTGACTGATTGTAATTCGCTTCATTTGTGTTTATTCCTTTTCTCCTTAAATGTTGAGGATGGTGGTTACAGGGGTCAGGAAACAATGTAACCAAAAGTAACTGGAAGTCATACTGATATAAATCATGACACACCTGCACCTAATTTCAGTGCCAGTCAGACCTGCGTATGATGAGTTTTTCTTTTTTACGCATCTTAAATACAACAAGAGGTTGAATCTTCTGATTCATCCATTAGATATATTGATATCACATAAGAAAAAAATAAATCTAATACCAGACTTTCAAGATTATGCATTAATGCGGCATTGCAATTGGTTACCACCAAATTTTAACAAGGAAATGAGTATCAGTTGTCCTGAGGGGCTGGTCACATGATCAGCGGTACCTGATAATAATATCGTGGATTTTTACATTTTCACTTGATAAGGTCAGTATCTTTTCTAGAATACAATAGTTGCATACTGGGCAAGTGGTTGCAAAATGAATTCACAATGCAATTTTTAGAATCATTTTGGATGGTGCTTCTTAATTCCTCATTTGGCATTGCACTCGATGCTCGATTGGCCATTTATTTTCATAGATGCAATCCGTACAAAGTTTGCGTTCCAGTGTGAAGAACGCTGAACAGTTGTTATAATCTATAGAGGTAAACTGATCTTTAACTACCTTCTGACATTTGTCATTCATATTAAAAAGACAGGGAGAAATGTTCCCTAGATAGCTTAATCAATAATTATTTTGCACAAACAGGTATGAGATAACCCAGGTTTACGTGTGCATGCAGTTATTAAAGACCTCATACATGCATCTTTATCCTAAACCACAGCTTCAGTTTTGTGCAGCGCAGCCTTCTATGATGAACTTGATAATTTCTGCCACTGATTCCCCAAGCTATAAGTCCTTAGATTTATTATCTTATATTTAAGACAACACAGTAAGCATTCATGGACATTCAGATTCAATCAAATGATACATGTAGAAGACTGTAATAATAATGCAAATGGCACAAACAAAAATGTCACCTCCTTTCTCATGGCAATTTATTGCTTGAAGTAAATTTGGACTGCAATTTACAGAGTCACAATACTTGGTAGATTAGCAATTTAATTATATCCAACATTCCTTAGAACATTTTATGTCAAGATGATCTTTCATTGAGCTTGGCTTAATTATATCTTTCCAATTATCTACATGACATATCAGCCAGTGGACATGCAGGCTACAGAATTATGATGGCTGATGGACAAGATGGCAGAATGCAAGTGTCTGTTCAACAGTCAACAACCTTATCTACAAATCTGTAGAACTAAGTGTAATGACACCAGATTAAATAGAAAATTACTTGTCAAAGATGGCACATAAACATACATTTAACAAAGAAATTCAAAAGAACATTTATTAACATCTAGACAACAATCAATGGTGAAAGAGTCTAAAATCTTATTCTTAATACAGTACAGTACTTTCAGTACTTTTCACCTCAGCAACAAGTTTGCCCTGTCCATAAGAAGTAATATATTTATCACTGTTCACAATTTCTTGTGGTTTTTCAGACCCACCATGAAATATGTATATATAACCCTATCAGCACATCATGTTTTAAATTGATGACTTATCATAACACTGGTATTATCCTATATGAGTAAGCAATGATCAATCTTCAGAAATTGAACATGTTAAGACAGAAAAAGGGCACCATCCCAACTTTCAGACATGACAAATTTAATTAAGTTACTTAACTAACTAGCCAGCACAACTGACAAATATACAAACAAATAGGGGGAAGAAAACAAAAATAAAATGAAAAAAGAAAAACATGCAGACAGGTTATTGAATTATAAGGGGTCTGCATATAAAAGATTTCAGTCAATCATTAACACAAAGATTAGACTTCTACAGGTGCAACAAATCTGTGGGGCACTTTTTTCTTCATATACGAGCTTAATGAAAGAAATGAACTTGGTCACAGAATAGATAAAGAGTCTCTGAAAATTTAATTCATTTATACTCAGAGATATTACTTTTTTTTAGTTTTTTAGTCTACACAATGAACATACTGCAAGCTGAGATGTAGTTACAACTGGTCTAATTTAAAACCAGATGTCAGAGTCTACTTACACAGATATCTTAACTGCTCTACAAGGGCCATTCTGTGGTTCAATTTACATCAGTTGTGGATTTGCTTTTCATCTGCCAGGTCAAGTAGTAAGACAAATGTTTGATCAGAGCTAAGGAGCAGATTCTGCATAATCTGTCAACTCAGATCTATTCTCCTAATATTGTATAACAAAGCCAAATATTGGCTACATGTTAAGGTAATATCCAGTATTTGATTAAGGCGTCCTCAAATTAGTTGAATTAATCTGAATTGTTGTACAAAAATGGGCTTTTGATCCCATTTTCAATACCTGAATGTCCCACTATGGCCAATGTCAAATTCACCTTTTCAGTATTTCAGTTTGATACATAAAAAAGCCTTTTCCAGATCATTTAAAAAAATTTCTGACCACATTTAATCTAATGAAATTTCATATTATAATATTTTAAAATCGCCATTTCTTCATATACATGTACTATCAAACATGTACTCTCAAACAATCACCACAAGAAAGAGCTGGTTAGGCATGCCAGTGGTATTCAGGTGTACCAAGATTTATAAGGGGGAGGAGGGATTTTAATAGAGCTCTGTTCAATTTCAAACTTCAGGTATGTTGTTGCCTTTTATAAGGCTCTGAATATGTAGTTTCATGAAATCTTTAATTGTCTCATTAAAGCACCCTTCTCTCTTCTTCCCTGCTTCTCACAAGCAAGGCCTTGTATTTTTTTTCAGAGATGATGTATAAATTCATGGCTTGACTTCATTCTGGCCACCTGATGATATATAGCAAAATCTCATGTAATCTTCAATACAATATCTGTAATCAGGGCTATTTTCATACAGATTTTCACATTTGAGATTGGCAGGCAGGTGGAAATGATTTCCCTATGTCTTAAGTCATGTTTTTTTTTTCAATGAAAAGATGTCACCTTTGTTCAAAGGCAATTTATTTTCACATTACCTTATGAAAAATCCATACAGTTAAAGGTGGGCACATAATCAGTTTACCACCAACAGACTGAAGGGAACAACTAGACAAAACATGAATGTCAGATTTTAGTATGATTCAAGGTTAAGTATCAATACAAATTCATATTCTAGGTATAAACTACAGGACTATTTCTAAAATTACTGTCCATCTATATCAAGCTGGAGTGATTTTCCTTTCCCATATTCACAGAAAGTAGGTAAAATTACAAGTGGCTGTTCCAAATCAGAAATTTTTATAAATCACAGATTCCCAGAAATATCAAAAGCATTTGTGATAAATATTCATATAGAAGTACAATTTTGGCTCTTTTGAGCTTTTATGTCAGAGAACAATAAGCTCAGTTCACAAAAAGCAACAAAAATATAAAATTACGTGAGATTTCTGAAAGACATCATTATGGTCATAACATAAAGATGTACAGTGTATAATTCAAAGCCCTGGACAATTTTTAAAAATTCATGCATGTACTGTAATGCAAGTAATATTCAATTTCCACCATCTTACCTTGACAGCCAGTCTTTTCCCTCGATGTTCTGTATGTTCTTTAAGACTCATGCTTGCCACCATTTCTGAAGGCCCAACTTTACTTTTATTTGATGAACTAGTGAAGGAGATTGTGCCACTTGAGGGTTGGTCTGAATGGGACTCGGTCTTGATGACTTGGAACTGGGACTGCGCCTGGGAACTGCTGTATTTGGCAGAATTAGAATCTTCAGCGTCTTTACACAAAAGGACCCCTGTGCGAGTGGAGTGGAGACTTGGGGCACAACCCATTGCAGTTTTTATAAACTCAAAAGTCCAAGTACAATTTCACCTTCTATCTTGTGGAGTTTCTGAAGGATCATCTGTATGAAGATAAAATAAAAAGGAAGTTACAACAGATTACACATCAGGTTTTAAATTACTGTCATATTATAAAATTGTGTGGCTTTTTGATATAGGTCACCAACTGGCATTAATATCATCTATGATTTTTTTCTTCTAATGGAGACAAAAATTCAGCATATATAATTTATTTCATTCAGTGTCTGTCACATTATTGTTTCCCGTTAATTCTAAAATCATATCATGAAACAGAAAAGTTAAATCTTAATATAATTTCTTCCTCTTTGATCGCATCCAAACATTAGCTCCAGGAGTCCCAAAGCTTAAACACTGACCACATTTTTAAATTTCCATACATGCCCACTTATTTGTCCTTCTGCAGCATTTTGGTTTAAAGTTCACTGCAACAATGGCAATTGTAGCCTAACAGACAGCACCAGTAAAAGTCTTTCAACTATACATATGATAGGTCTTTGAACTATACATTGGTCTTACTCCTAAGGAACCATGAAATTTGCATAACCAAAATAGCATTTAAAAATGATGAAGCTGGTACTCATCAGACCTGACAACCATGGTACTTTTTTTTCATACATTGTAAAAAAAACTATAACCTCTTTTCATTATGCTGGATCACCATGCAACCACAATGATGATTAAAGTCAAATGTAAGTAGACATAGGCAAACCCATAAAATACAAGGACAAGTTGCCAGGAAACCTTTGAATATGGCACTTATGGGGATTCAATATTTGCCCATCCTTCTTCAGAACTGCATTTTGCACCTAAGGAACATTATTTCCACACATTATGTAAGACTAGGTGACTAGCACATCAGTTAAGTTTATATTCGTCTCATAACATTTAGAAATCACTTTCTGTGCTCTTATTAGCGTTCATTCAATCCAATACTCTTTATTTAACCAGAGTAAAATAATTTAAGTCAAAAGTTAAGGGTAGTCATGGACAAATATAATTTAAAGCATGTCTAAATCCAAAAATGAAGCAACAAGGCTGTTATTAAGTGCATATATTTGCTTTTAAGTCCCAAAATTATTGATACAACATCAACTACAACATCAACAACAACATTTATTATTATTATTATTATTATTATTATTATTATTATTATTATTATTATGGAGTCTTCCAAAAAAAAAATCACAAACCAAACTATAATTTCTGTTTTAAATGCATTTCACCTTTCTGCGCCATTTATGCTGATATCAGATTTAAAAAAATTTTCGGACTCCACAGTTATACAGCAAAAGAGAGTTAAAGTAACATAAATGGACTCCACTGCATGAAACAATAACTATAGCTACTTGTGGTAAGGCAATGACGTCAATAGCACATGTCAATTTCTTTCAGCAACTATTGTTATATCTCTAATAATCAAAATGATTCTGGGCATATGCAGTAAAAGTGACTCATCAAATCCTATCTGTTAAGTATCTTGCCAGGCAATTTGTTCACCAAGCTTCCATAATCATACGTAACAACTGTCCAGGTAGAACATACATGTGTAGGTGCTATGACACTACTGTTTGATGTTGACTTCACTTTCTTCTTGATTTGTGTTTTATATTTGTTTATTTTTCATTTAATTCATCTTTCAAATATGGTTATAACTTATAGTTAATTTATTTTTCTTTTTTTTTTTTTTTTGTAAAACATCTAGCTGTTTCAGATGTCTATTTGTTATTTTTCAAACAGAAAATATTTGTCAGAAATTCCACATGTACCAATAGTGGCTGCTGGATTTCATATTATTAAGACCCAATCAAGAGTGTTATTTTCTAAATAAAAGCATTCAAATAAGAGTTCTTGAATCCACACTAGGTTATAAAATTTGCTTACATGTTTATGTCAGATCTGTTCCAGGATAATGGAAACAAAAACAGATCCAGGGAAACCTTGTAATTTTTTTATATACCTTACATGCTACCTTGCTTAGAGGGTCATATCTGCATGCAATCATTTCTGAAGAAGCTAAATTGCTGAGAATGTGGTCTTAAAATGCTTTTGTGTGTGTGAGAGAGAAACAGAGAAAGCGAGTTTTCGAATTCTGTTTAGTGATAGTTGTTTTGTAAATATTAGAGTTGAAAAAGATCCCAAAATTGTTTATTTCTCTTATTTATTTATTTATTTATTATTATTTAGTATTTTGAACAACTATTCAAATGTTTAATAAATCCAGACAATCTTGCATTTGATCTCTTTGAATTTCAGCTTATATGTCTTGCCACATTTGGATAGCTTTGACTGTGTCAAGCACCATGGTTGCCATGTTCACTCATGGTTGTGCACGATGTCAACACTTGCCTTCCTGCCTATTCCTTTTCAGCCAATTCTTCCTCATTCTTTGCTAATTGTCACTTTTATTCATGCAAATTTAGCTATCAGTTTTTTCTGCTGCTCTGCTTTGTCTCTCCTCATTTTCTGGTCTATCTAGCTCAAGCTTTTCTTCATCTAGTCTTACTTAACTGATGTTCTGCACAGGATTACCTGACAAATAATTTCAGTTCCTTTGTGACTGGCATCTTCTAAGGAGACCACTCAAGTTGATCATGAAATCAGACTAATTTCTTTCAATATACACAGACCAACAACAGTGGATTCTCCCAGAGATGCCCTGTCCTTCATAACAACTTTTGATTTGATTCAGAGAATTCATTCAGATTTAGCATTTGCCTGTGGCAAGACAAATCCTGCTTTGACTACGTCAAGGAGTGACAAGTAGGGGCTATTTCTTTTAATTGACTTTCCCTGAAAACAGTATTCCAGCAGTCTTTGATCGCATTCACAACGACTTGAGCTAGGCTTTACAGATCCTGGGGACTAAATATGGCGGTCGTACATGAAAGAAAAACCGCCTAATCTTTTAATAGTCTCTCCACCTCTCACACGCCTCCCCACACATCCCTGGGGGGGGACAGTCATTAAATCTCGGCTCCATTGGGATGACACATGGGGAGGCGTGTGAGAGGCGTGAGACTATTAAAAGATTAGGCGTTTTTTCTTTCATGGACGTCCTCCATATTTAGTCCCCAGGATTTGTAAAGCCTGGCTCAACTCGTTGTGAATGCGACCTTTAATGCCATAAATAGATCCCTTGTAGTAAGTCCAGGCCTATACAAACGGATTAGCTGTTTGCTGACTCGAGCCTAAGATTTGTGAGCACGAAAACCCAAATTTACAACTCGAACCACCATTCTATGGCACAACTGTAAAATTAGGGGCCACAAGCATTGGACTACAATCCACAAACCATTAATCCACTAACCTAACCATTCTCAGTATGTTCCGTATGTGTCAGAGATTGTCAAGAGTGCATTTCTGCAGCATTGATATATGTGGTATAAATAGCAAATTCAGACCCATAGCCAGCAATTTCAAAAAGTGGACCTTTTTCAATGAAACCTTTGTGTACCTAGATCAAATTTTACCCAGAATGGGCCTTTTCCTGACAAAAAGGCAGTTCTTTCGAACCCCTGAAGCCTCCTGGCTATTGGCCTAAAATTAAAGAAATATATTAGTTCAACTTGATTTGTGACTTTATTCATTTTTTTAATAATTTTTATGATAATGTAAATCCATGGAAACAGATATTTGTAAGTTGGTGGAAACAGTCATTGAATCAATTTGACAACACCACTGTGGTCATTGCAAAGTAAACTCTTAAGCTTCTATGTATTTCCCACACCACTAACATATTTGGTCTCGTCCAAGCTTTGAGTGTTCACTACAACTAACATCACTCTCCTCCTCAAATTCTGCCAATATAGCTCTACGTAGCCACTTTATTGGTTATTGGTGTAGCTCTTTTGTCAAAGAAATAGAAAAAGATGAAAATTTTTTGCCTAGGTACAGCATCTTCGAAAGCTCTAATTAACAACCAGTTTTTTGTATCTTCTGCCACATTGAAAATAGAGTTTGATATTGAGATAAAGAACCTCTATGTGTATAGCTAGAGATCCTGATGAAAGTTGGGCAGGGATTTTGTGCTTTTTCATGCTGTGCATGCCAGTGGCTACTAATTTTAACACTTTGCAATGAAATCTAGTTCTAGTATAGTCCTTTTTTGATGATTCCTGCTCAAATGATCATGATTGCAAACAGAAATTATCATTTATGAGGCCTGAAGTCCACCTAAACATTTTAAACACACATTTTTTAAAAATAAAATTGCATACAAAGAAATACTCTTGTTGAATTTAACTAAATAAGTAACATTTTTATTTAAACAGATAAATGCCATGAATTAATGTCACCAAAAAAAATTAATTATAATAATAATAATCTAATTTATCACCTCCTGTTGAACATCTTCCCCTGTCAACAATCTGGAAATTAGTGCTAAAAGTTGATTGCAGAATTTGAAAAACCCACGCTTAAGTCAAGGTTGAAGACTTCTTAATTTTCCCAGATTGTTACTGAGTGATGGCGAGTGTCAGGAAAAGAGGGTCAAAAGTTGGTTACGTATTCAAAGGAAAACATCCTTAACCACAGAAATATGACATATAAAATCATTTTTAGACCGTAAATATGAGGGGAAAGTAGTATGTTTTTCCAAGAAAAAAGGAAAACTGAAAATACATAACAACTTGACACAAAAATATGATATATCTGTACAAGTATCATGAACAAAATATATTAAATGCTATTAAAATTAAAATGAAAGCACTTTTGCAGTAACTCATTTAAACCAACCACCACCACCCCAACCCCCAGCCCCACCCTGTAACCCTCATTTTAGCTAAGCAAAATAAAATTATGTGGTGACTTCGATCTAAGTCTATGCTATTCAAATAAGTTTGTTTGGAAATTTACTAACTTATATTTAATTTTTTTTTAATAAACCTTAAATTTCTTTTACCAATAATATTACAGCAAATTTTCACCCAAGCGATAACCTAGCTTGGCTCTCATAATATTTGAAACGCATAAAGTTTCATGTAAAAACTATCTTAAATTTAGTTAATAAATACCCAAACTAATCTTTTTTGGTAGTGAAGACATTGCTCAAAGTCACAAATTAATATAGAAAAGATATTGAATATCACAGAGTTATATCATGGAGGAATTCAAATACATATTATTTATGTGCCAAAATGAATATGGTCACAAATTGACACAACCTCAACAATATCACCATTACTTCTTATCAATTGGAGAAAGCTTCAGGTGTCTTGGCTCTATATCAAAACAAACATTCGATTGATCTGAACAGCCTTACGATAACATCAAACCTAATAGCAACACGTATTTGTTCACACAACATTAACCAATAACTGTCGGAACCGTAAACCTACCTGTATGAGTTTCTCTGTCAGTTCACCTGCTAAACCATACGTACTTTCTCAGCTCACTGTAAACATATCTACCACCGACATTTTTTAAGTTAAAACTGCAAGTTCCTTCTGATAATTTTGCAAGATTTTCTGCTTTTGTCTTAATATTCCTGTTACATTAAGATCAACTTGAGCAGTTTTCAGCACCGGCATTCCTTTTTGATCATTCGAGCACTGCGGCATGTGTAATTGACATGTCACGTACCTGTATCTGAAAACATGCACACACCCGACAACGGCACTTGCAGTGTGATCAACTACCTTTCTTCGAAGAAGTCTGATAAATCAAGGAATAGTTCAATGACACAGACGCTTTCGTGTCACAGTGGTCAGAATGAAACACGGAGAAAACAATACTCCACGCTAATCATCCTACCTTCCGTAATTTTGACGGCTGGTTTGAAAACAGCACTGTTCCAAAAGTTACTTATACCCACCGCGCACTGCCCAGTGTATTACACCAAGTTGGAGTCATTTACAATCGCTTTTTTATTACCTTTGTTCTGCAACGCCACCTCACAGGAATAACTCGTTGCCTCGAAGACCTCTTGAAATCTAGCGCATGGAATCACGTGGTGCCAGCTTCGACGACAAACGAGTGATTGATTACACAGGCCTCTTTGAAGGCCTACAGTGTGCGTGGTCTTTTTAAGATTGACGAAAAGGCTTCTAATCGATATTTGATCTGATCTGATTGTAGAAAGGCTCAAAGTTTGTGTGCCCGTAACATGGTTTTCGATAAATTATGCCGTTCTTGGCATGACTTATTGTATGCACGTCGTTGTCATAGTGCGATATGATGACGTCCATCGCCGAGTTAACAGAATACAAGTACCGGATAAAATTGTTCTAAAACAATCTTGATAAGGAGTCAAATGGCTGGTCGTTAGTGATCAGCCTTGGTTAACACCTAATTGAACAGGTGTTCACAGCTGTTTCCAACGGAAAAGTTTTAACTATGCCTATATAGGTAGCCTATAATATTGCTTTTATGAGTTGGCGTTGGTGCCCTATCCATATCAGGTCTATTTTAAAAATCTGCTTTTCAAATTTTGAACGGGAATCCAATAATATGAGGATACAGGTGTGAAAGCAAATGTGACACGCCTGCTAGTAAAACAGATATTTTTACTTGATAAAGTTTGGCCAAATGCTAAATTCATATATTCATATATCTCATTACACAAAAAATTCAATCTACAAAGAAAGTAAAAGTCACGCGTTGACCATTTGCCTTTTTCTGTTGTAAAAATTTTAATAAAAGTTTCCTGAAAATTTAAACACTTTTTTCTTCATCTCTGTACCATATCTTAAATCGTTTACAGATTAGAATCTACAATATTTAAGTGGTCTTATTAGTTTCAATTTTCCAATTCCGATCGAGACAATCTCGCAAAGAAAACGGAGAAATAATATAATCTTGAAATGAGTTTATACATCGCAATTTTCTCATCGCTCTTGAATAGATCAAAAGTTACCTAAAGACAAGCCTACCCAGAAAACCCCGGCCTGCTGTACAGGCTTACTTTGGTAAAATTGCAGAAAATATAAATTCAACTAAAATTCGTATTTGCTATACAAGGTCTTGTAGCCTACATAACATGCATTGTGTGTCTTAAGTTTTACTTATTTTTGTTATCCTTGAGTAAGTATGTATAAAATATTTTAGAAAAGCTAGGGAGAGGCACGTTTTCCCTGTAAATTGTCAGGGGTCCCATTGGGTATTTCGTTACCCGTGAAATCCACTTTGTATTTCCCGAGATGCGTGAAACGTTCATATTATTTAACCTTTTTTTTTTTTTGGGGGGGGGGGGTCACACTCCCGTGAATTTGTTAACTGATCATTTTATTCTCCTGAACTGTGATCACTAATCTACCCTCTCTCTGTTTGTACCCTCTGTGATCCTTCTTTCGCGTTAAATTTTTGATGAGTCCACGCATCCACCCTCACTTTCACCCAATCCTGTAATCAATTTTCTAGCAACTGCCTGTCTATCAAAGCATAGAAAATCCGATTTCGAGCATTTCAGAATAAGTTTGCATATGATTACCTCCGATGCCACTTTCTTACGTAAATGAAAATGATACTGATGAGCTCTTCAAAGCCTAATGGGATCTGGGGAAATGAACATAAAGTTACTTCTCACACTGGTAGGCTAATATACTCAAAATTGATCTTAGGTTTAGTCATCGCTTCTATATAATTTTTATAACTATTGTTTATCATTTTGCTTTTATTATTCTAATAAAACCAGATGTCAGGGTGCGATCCACTCACCGAGAGCAAGTGATTCGGCGAGTGTATCAAACCTAACATAAAGTGTGATTATATGTACACTGTATAGGGGTCTACTACATGTATAGGCCTACATATAATTGTGCTGATATCTATTTATTTATACCCTCATTTATTTGATATAGTTAGATTTAAAGTCCATGATCTGATGATTGTACCTAGTTTAGAGATTTAGAGGGGGGGGGTCGGGGGGTCCTGACACCCTCCCCCCCCCCCCCCCCCTTCATTTAAAAAAATCACACTAATAGGCCTATTCCCCTCTTGAAATTAAAATTTTGACTGGCTGATTTGTAGTAAGCCGTACCAAATGGCACTGTTCGCCCTCTAAAATCCCAAAAATTTTCGGGGCCCACCCCCCAATGGGGGTAGGGGGGGGGGGGTCGGCTTCGCATCCGCGGACCCCACCCCCCACTTCCCTTCAAATAATCCTGGATCCGCCCCTGGTACCTTAGGCCTATTTGTGAAAGCATTTATCAATAAAGAATTATACTCGATTCAATTCTCTTTGTTGCAATAAGTAACATAAAAAGTTTATCCTTTTTCCGAGAGGGCGAAGTTAATATTGGGAACATATTGTGATTTAGAACAAATTGGCTGCTGAAGCACAAATTTTTGTATCCTACCAGAGCACAGCGACGCTGCTCGCACATCTAACGCAATGCCCCGAGTTGGGCCAATGAGAATATGCCATGTGATAAGTGCGGTCTGCTACTTGCAATGTGTCGGCATCAAAATATCAAAACATGACTTCGTCTCTTAGATTACCAGTGATGACTTCTGCTGGCAGCAAATTCAGAGCAGTGAGACAAGTGTTATTGCACGACAGGGGAAGGATGACACTACGTAAGCAGGTACATGACAGTGTGAAATATTGTCATGGCTAAATCAGATGGCTGTAAAAAGAGTCTATGCCATATACAGTAGGAATTAGAATACTATTACGCCTTGGTATACTTTAAGTTTTACCTGTAGATCTAGCCACCGACAACAGTTTTGTTTCTCTTTCTTTGTGGATTTCACTTTTCCAAATGACGAGTATATATTACAGATATCCAATACACAGGAGACCCTAAGAATAGTAGTGAAAGGAGTCTGTCCCCTCCCCTCGGCCTCATTCTTCATTAGGAAACTGGTGTTCAAGTGAACGAATGTCTTTAACTGCAATTACTAACTGCTGCTGCACCAATTAGTAAAGTACCATTGTGCCCAAATTAAATCCATATGCTTAATTCAAGGTTTATAAAATTACCAGGTTTCCCAGCCTGTCGATACCTGTAAATTGGGGAAACCTGGAAAATGACTCCCCCTTTTCCATGGTCAGACATTCGCCTTCTGCACACAATTGTTCATCCCATACTATGGCTTAATGGCCTGCAATAGCTGTTTATTAAAGCTGTTTAAGGCAAAAAATATGTCAAATTTTTTACCCTGGAGTTAATAATCACTCCCATCAGAAAATCTTGACTCCGAGGTTTTATTGCTGGGCCCCTACGACGACAGCGTGTGTAGAGGTGGTGAGATCATCATGGAATTAGCAACATCGCTTTTGAAGTGTGGTTGACCATATTTAGTTGGCGGATCAGTTAGTCCTCGGATCATCTATTCTGAAGTGTACCCTAGTCCGATCTTCTGAATGTGTCCTAAAAATGTCAAGTGTGTGAGTTATGATCAGAAAACTCAAATTACTGCCTTCCTTGACAGCACAACTGCTTTTACATGTCATTTACTTTGCACTTCAGACCAACTGTGGCTTTTGTTGCCTGTCATGTCACAAAGAAAGGTACTTGAAACAAGCCAGCACAGAACTAAGAAGTTTTAGATACCCTGTTAAACAAACTTTTCCCTGGTTCTGGCAGTATAGAGACAAAACCTCAGGAGCTGATGATGCTACATCAGAGGAGTGAGTATTTCTTTACTAGTGTGAATTGATTATTATATTATTATATTGCAGCAGTATATGCATTCTACTATTTCATTCGAACATAACATACATGGTTATTACTACATGATGATTATTACTAATTGTTCTTTGAGTTACATGAACCTCAATACACAAAGTCTGTCACTATGATAATTTACTTCATATAGGGACCCAATTATTAACTTAACATGTAACTTGTTATAAGGAGATACATTTCTCTTCATTTTGATTTTTCTCTTTAAGATTAACAGAACTGTCATATAATCATATAGCAGATGAAACTCTTCATTCCTTGACAGAGTTTTTAGACGAATTGTCAGAAAGTGGATTTACTCATCCAGATTATGATGTTGGCTTTAATGTAAGTATATATTATTCACTTCAAATCAATTATTTTTTTTCCTTTTTATTTTGTGATATCTTCATTTGGTACAAAGGGCAGTTTTGTGAGTTATTTAAAATTAATTAAAAAAATCAGCAGTCTTAATTTGAAAACAGTTATAATGTAATTGTAGACATATATATTATGATATAATGTAATAAAATGACACAAATGGATGTTTCTTCTTTCTAAAGATATTTATATGATAAAGTCACCTAATAGTAATAAAAAGTTAAATTAATTAATTTTTTAAATTTCAGAATGGAGTACTGACGATAAACATGGGAGACCGTATCGGTACTTATGTGATCAATAAACAAACTCCAAACAAGCAAATATGGCTTTCTTCACCTTCAAGGTAATTTTTATGATACAAGCATCAGACACCTTATTAATTATAATTTATTAATTTATTACATTATATTCATCTACACTAGAGAAACTTAAAATGATGTTTGTAAAATGATATCAAATCACAAATGTTGTAAAATACATTCCATAATTCTGAGTTACAAAAGATTAAAATGCCTATTCAGTTTTTGATTGTACATCATACAAATATCTGACATATTTTGCCTAACTTACACACATAAACACATCTAAAAGATCATGTACATTTTGCACACGTGCACGCGTGCACACACACACACACACACACACACATTAAAGATCTTGTACATATTTACAATGATTATTTTCTAGTGGCCCTAAAAGATACGACCTTGTCAATGGAGTCTGGATATACAAACATGATGGCATAAGTCTACATGAACTGTTAAGCAAAGAATTTTCTGCAGCACTAGAGACAGAGGTGGACTTCTCAAGCTGTGCATTTTCTAAAACATCTGATGGATGATGAAAATTTGTTGCACCTTCTTTGAGACACTGGATAGAGATTAAATTCAGGTTGATTTTGCCAAACTTATCTTTTGTCTTCATTCTTCATACAATAGGTATATGATGAATGTCAGTGGTCTTTGTAAAATTGAAATGGCACTTTCACTTGGATTTTTTGTGTCGTTGTTAATTTTGGTTCCTTTTTTTGTTTGAGAAAATTGAGTAGAAGTAGAGCAAACAAGATATTTTCCAGTGAAAATGCTTTAAAAACATTGTATTACTTTGGCTGATTTATGCTTTTTAAAAATATAAGTACTTAAAACTAAAAGATGTCACAAGTAAAAAATCTGCTAAAACTGTTCCATTGTTTTTAAAACTGAAATATTACATTTACATCTTTTTGATAAAACACTTTGGAAAACATTTATAATCAATTTAAAACTAAAACTGAAGATATCACGTCTTGGATAAAGTAGAATCATCAAGAATGCTTTTCAACTGTGTCATTTTTCTCCAGAAAAGTAAGTTCATACATATCATCATCACCACAGTAAATGATAAGACAGTCACCCAACCCAGCAGACCATTGTACATCTGGTGGATATTCTCTAATTCTGATACCACTTGCAGTGTTGGCTGTACTCTCTGGTCTGTGTTATTGCCATGCAGACTTTGGTGTGCACCTGGCCCACCTGACACTACAATTTAAATAAGTGGAAAAAAAGTTGACTTGGCTGTTAATTTGTGTTTGATGCATGGGTAAAGTTTATGCATTGTTAAAATGAAGGAAGTGAATATTAAAATATTGATAATAAAATATTACGGAAATCAGACATGAAACTGTTTTTTATTCAGTCAAAAGCTATGAAAGATTTGCATTTTTTAACCTTTTGTTGGACATTTTAGATGTATTAAAAACATCTCTGTAATACTGTAATATGCATATTCAAATTTTACTATCTTAGATTTTGTCTGTCCTTTAAACATAATTCTGTAGAAACATATTTAAAACTTCTTCTAGGTTAACCTTGAATGCAACTTCAATGCAATTATTAATTTGTGATATCCCATCATACCTGATACATAATCATCATGAGACCCCAGAGACCTGTCTCCATGAGGATGGTGAGATTTTGGAGACTTTGATCCCTCTGAATGGGGAGATCTGGCAGGCCCTGGTCCATGTGAATAGGGAGACCTAGTAGGCCCTGGTTCATGTGAATGGGGAGATCCAGCAGCCTTTGGCCCATGAGAATGTGGAGATCCAGGGGACGCTAATGAAGAATTACTGCTATCACTGCTGTTAGCAAATGAATCTTGAATATGGGGATGTCTGCCAGGCCCTAGTCGAGGAGTTTTGTGATGCCCCTTGGACCCTGGTCGAGGAGTATGGGGTATTCTGTGATGCCCTGGTCGTGGAGTATGGGGAGGGGTGGGGTGCCCTGGTCGAGGAGTGCGGGGAGGGGTGGGGTGCCCTGGTCGAGGAGTGCGGGGAGGGGTGGGGTGGCCTGGTCGAGGAGTGCGGGGAGGTGTGGGGTGGCCTGGTCGAGGAGTGCGGGGAGGGCTGGGATGCCCTGGTCGAGGAGTGCGGGGAGGTGTGGGGTGCCCTGGTCGAGGAGTGCGGGGAGGGCTGGGATGCCCCGGTCGAGGAGTGTGTGGAGGTCTGGGATGCCTGTGTTTGCTTTTTTTGGGTGAGGAAGAGTTGGTGGACAGGCAGGCGTAGCTTCCAAAAGTATTTATACAGGTTTCATCATCATTACATGGTGATTCTGCAGATTCACACTCGTTGACATCTGTAAAGAATTAAAACATGTTAGAAACTATTCAAGTTTTCTAAGAACACAACACACACACATCAAAAAAGCCATAACAATTTCATAAAAAACAAGGTGCATTTTTTACATTGCTCAGACTGTACAGGAGGATAAGCATATACATTCAATAGTGATACCTTTCATGCAATAAATCATGATATTTGGTATTTTTACAATTTTTCTAAAGTCCATGGCAATCACATTTTTGGAAAGAACTTTAACTCTTACCTGTGCATGTTTGTCCGTTGTCTGCCAGATTGTAGCCTGACTCGCACTCACAACGATAGCTACCCGCTGTGTCTATACAGAATTGATCACATCCGCCATTGCGCTCAAAACATTCGTTTACGTCTGTAAAATATCATTAATGAATGAAGCTTTTAATGAAGAGGCACTGTTCCTGGGACATACTTGCTTTAGTGTTTTGCTGGAGCACACTAGTTTAAATTTTTTTNTGCAGATTCACACTCGTTGACATCTGTAAAGAATTAAAACATGTTAGAAACTATTCAAGTTTTCTAAGAACACAACACACACACATCAAAAAAGCCATAACAATTTCATAAAAAACAAGGTGCATTTTTTACATTGCTCAGACTGTACAGGAGGATAAGCATATACATTCAATAGTGATACCTTTCATGCAATAAATCATGATATTTGGTATTTTTACAATTTTTCTAAAGTCCATGGCAATCACATTTTTGGAAAGAACTTTAACTCTTACCTGTGCATGTTTGTCCGTTGTCTGCCAGATTGTAGCCTGACTCGCACTCACAACGATAGCTACCCGCTGTGTCTATACAGAATTGATCACATCCGCCATTGCGCTCAAAACATTCGTTTACGTCTGTAAAATATCATTAATGAATGAAGCTTTTAATGAAGAGGCACTGTTCCTGGGACATACTTGCTTTAGTGTTTTGCTGGAGCACACTAGTTTAATTTTTTTTTTTTTTTTTAATTTTAATCTGTGCACGAGTGATTAGCCTTGCAGTGGAGTTGCTCTCAGAAAAAATATGAGTTTCTTGACACAATGTAAGACTATTCTAATATTTGAAAAAATAATCACTAACTTGTGCATTCGGTTCCATTTAAAAGTTCGTTTACACCTTGGAGCGCCTTGCACACGCAAATTGGTTCGCCGCCATGTGCACTTGTTCCCACACAGCGAAAAGAAGACTTGTCCGTTACTGAAAAGAAAACACCCAATTTCAAATGGGACCTTTGTACAAACTGTTTGATTTTTCAGTGACAAATTTGATAGGAAATATTATAACTGCCTCCAATTCTTAATAAAAATAAACACTTTTGGGGAGTTCGCGTACTGAAAGCCTAAAAATGGCAAGTACATTTTCACGAGCTACACTGCATTCTATGGAATGTGATCAACTAAGGGGTTTTTTCTCTTTATATGGATGACAGTAACGTTTCCCTTTAATTTCATCAGCATTTCCAAAATTTCCATACAAAATTTTTGCCCTTATTGTTTTTACATATTTCACACAAGTTATTTTGCTCGTATAACAGCTGTCGATAAAAAACGCTTTATTTTTACTGAAATAATACAGATTATTTCCTTCTTATTTACTTACCGTTCGTATAACACGATCGCTCGAAAAGAGTAACATTGTCGTTGCTAATCACATTCTCTTGGACTGTCGTGCGTATTGTAGACGTGGAGAGTACACAGTCACCAGACAAATAGGTATCAAAGGCTGTTAAAACAAATTGAACAGACTGACAGACAAACGTATTTTCTGCGTCACACAAAGCTTGGCAGGCTTCTGCTGATGCTATTCCTCTTGATATCTTGCTGTGACCAAGGAGCTGGGTGGCTGGTATTTCAGTGTATGTGCAGTCTACGTATTCTGAAAAAATACATTTGAAAAATAAGTAAATACAGAAATGTTTTTTAAAAGTTCCTTTGGTGCACAGCCAATTTAATTCTTTGAAAAAGAATGAAGAAAGAAATACAAATGAAATAAATTAATTAAACGACAGTATTGAAATACTTTGTCAATAAACAAACGAAAATAAACTAACGCCGATGACACCGTTACCTGCATCCCTGGCAGAGGTAATTAATTAAGATTTTCACATTTTAATTTAAAAATATTATGAATTACCCAGGCAATCGGAAATTTGCGGCACCAGTCTGTATCCAGGGCGACAGGAGCAGTAATGGCCATCTGCCGTATCTATACATACTTGTCCACAGGCACCGTTATCTGCCGCACACTCGTTTATGTCTGGAGAAAAGTTTTGAAAATAAGTTAGTTGTGACAAATTCAGCCTAATTCTTTAGCGCCGTTATCCTTGCCCTTTTGTTTTATAACAAAATATTTTAGTATTTCTAGAGAGAGAGGTGTGGAATGATGCTTTATTAGAAACCAGTCTAGAGCACAAAAAAAGTTAGTACATTACTTCTATCATGATTGTTGTTTTGTGCCACTTAACTGTAAGTAATCGACCAGAAGTGAAAGTAGACTCATTCAAAAAATAACTGCTTGCGAAGGAGACTAATGAATAGAAAACTGAAGCCATTGGTGTTGTTATTCTTGCGAACGGAGAATCAACGGTACACGCCCACTGAATGTTTAAATGAATTTGTATGTTACGCCTCACGACGACACATTCCGTTGTATGGACATGTGTAAAATACTCAAAATGTTTCTTGCATACAAATTACCTTAAAAGTATTTTGAACGACTACTTACTAGTAACAGAGCCTGTTGGTCCGGTTGGTCCTACAATACTCTCACCAGAATCCCCCTTCTCTCCTGTCGGCCCAGTGGGCCCCGTGGGTCCTACAGAACCCGTCTGACCCGTGTTACCAGGGGGCCCCATAACCCCCGTGTCTCCTTTTAAACCTTGCGGACCTAAAACGATATTAATGTGGGTCGTCTGTAGTGTTTCGTTTGAAACTACTTAGACTGTGTGTTTAAGTGAGAGGGTGAACAGCATAACGCCAATTGGGTATCTTCACAAAATTTTTGCTTTCTGTAAAGTCTTTTTATTTTTGATAAATACCTTGCGTGCAGCTCACCTGTAGCTCCCGTTGCTCCAGCCGTCCCATTCACTCCGGGTGTGCCAGGAACCCCGTCTACTCCATCCAATCCAGGAAGTCCATTCAAGCCAGTCGGTCCTGTTACACCAACCGCTCCCTTCATACCAACGTCACCTTTTGGGCCAGGAGGTCCTTGGGGACCCGGATTTCCGTCTCTACCGTCCACTCCTGATGCACCAATGGCCCCCTTCATTCCCGTTAACCCTGCAAGACCCGTGGCTCCAGTAGGCCCCGCTGGCCCCGGCAACCCACCTATGCCGTCAAGTCCATCCAGTCCGTCCGGACCTGTGGGCCCAGTCGGTCCTGTTGGTCCCTGGCCCCTGCCTAGATAACCAGAGCGATGTTTTCAAGTTTAAGGCTTAGGTTAAAACAATATCGAAGGGATCACGTTGTAATCTTTTAAAAAAGTTTGTTTACGTGATAGTAAGATGTGAACTTTGGTAAAGGGTAAGCGGTTTGTGCAATTTTAGGTTGTTACGATATTCATGATTTGCACCGAGTCGCTGAATCCCATATTCTAGCAGGTCCACCATTTCGAAAAGATGGACGTTGTCCATCTCTCTCACAGTTCATCTCTCCCAGGTGCCGATAGTATACTGCAAAACTGAGCACATAAAGCATGCTTCTTGGAGTTCTGTGCCTCTGTGTATTTATTTTACCCCCCCCCCCCCCAACCCTCCTTTGTACCGGTAAGATAATGATTTTGAGTGAATGAGTGCTATTTGAGCCCATATCTGATCTGGCAAATGGTGCTCACTAACACTCTATCTACCCGGGCCACAGATTGATTTTTCACTACATACTCACGGATGTATTTCTGACTAATACTGTTTGGCACGGCAGAGAAAATCGTCATGAATTAGCCGGAGACATTTGCGTAAATATCCAGTGAAAATTAATCTGTGGGCCTGGTAGAGGATAGTACCTCCTCATATTAGTCCGAACACTGAGGCATCTCACGAGAATTGCGAACGTCTCAGACATGTCTCAAACATGTCGCAAATTGACTTGTGGATATGGCAACAGAAATGAGAATTTAATGAAGAACAAATCTGATGGTTAATTAGCAAGATCACACTTACCAATAGCGATACATAAAGCGCTGGCCAGCCATATCTCTCGCAGTCTCATGGCTGTGAAATTATTACGCTAAATTGTGCAGTGGACCAATTCTAGAAAGTCAAGAAAAGTGAAGAAACTATGAGCAGTTGGACATTGTACCTATTTTCATAACTAAAATTACCAGGATGAAAAATAACACCCTGTATGTGCCTGGGGTAACTTCTTTCTGAAATAGTTTGGGCACTGAGCAAGATCGAGAAAGGTGGAAAACACCCTTAGATAGACCCCTTACATGGCGACCAAACGACTATGATATCCAATAATGCATTAATGCATAAGGATACAGACACAATTCAACTTCTGTTCATATACCGTTTGATGAAGAAAAATAGAGGATAGAAACATAAAATTTGAGACTGACCTCATCAGATAGGACTACCTTTCGCCTCTTGTCGTGTCTGCAGTCAAGCCAGAATGACGCACCAGCTGGTTTATGTCCCTCCTTTTCCTCTAGGTCACAACGCCCCAGCACCCGATTGTTTTTCGGCTTCACAATGAAGATGTAAGAGAAGATAACACACAGGATCGAAAACGATGGTCAACTAACCGTGAGCATCTATCTCTCAATAGATTTTATCTCAGGTAAAATCTTCAACCTGACCATGGCTTGGACTCGTTAGGCCGCTTGCTTTGACAAAGATAATTGGCAGACATTTCTTACAGCTGGATGGAGATGAAGCCATATATTTTCAAAGGGGCAATTTATATAAACATGAAGACAAAGGCTTCGGTATTCTCCTGTTGTGCATCCTGTCTTTGAAATTTCTCAAGTCCGAATATTCTAACGTTTGTTTTCTACCCAGCTAGCATTTTCAGAGGAAACTTATATTTTTTATGTGTGTGTGTTTATGTAATATGTGTAGAAAAAAGTCCAACCCCATCTTCAAAAGGCACACACACCATTCTTTCTGCCTTTGCATGAGTTTGACAATGCACGATTTCCAAAGATTGTTGAATTATTTAATGATTCAAGGAGTTTCGCAATGAAGATGATTGATTGCAGTCAGGACCAAAATATCCTACACAAAATCCTACAAAATACTACATTGTCGCAACTACTGCAGCGAGGCCATAGCATCATGGCATCATGGACTGCGGGTACTTTTTCCAATCTGCATGTTTCTGTTTTGATATAAAAATTCAAAACTCGTCTTGAACAGCATGCGTGGTTGTTATTGTTGAAAGACCCTGTAAGACATGCCCTAGTCAAAGATGTATAGGTCCCTCGATAATGATTGGTATTTCAAAATAATTTTAATATGCTTCGAAAATTTCCCTCTTACTTTTTGTTTTCACACACAAAAAAAAGAAAGAAAACAGACTTCAAAAATGTGATTTATATATTTGATTTAATGCATCAGAGAAAAACTTACAAATATTCTGTACTTCTTTCAAGTAGCTTATCGGTGACCTTTCTATTCAGATTTAGATTGGTCAATTGGTTGGAAGAAGCTGCGGGGTCATATATGCAATTGATTGTCGCACATCCAGTTTTCTTGCATGGAGGTGTCAATTTTCTCTCCTAACAAGGACAGCCTTTAATTATCTTGACAACTTTCTCTAGGCGTTGGTATAAGGGTATTGAATTGACGAGCCAAATATTTAAAGCCATCTTGGAAGCAAGTTCCCCTTCATTTTCAAGAAATACAGGTAATTACAATTTTGAAATAAGAATAAATGGCGACACGCTTTTGGATGCACACGGCAAATGGGTTGGAAAAGCGATAATGGTGATAATAATGTTAATGACGATGACTACGATGGGGGAGACAAGTGCGAATATATGAGCCTTTTGGCAGCTCTTTTTTTTTCTCTCGTTATGTTTTCTTACTGCCCATAACAATGTTTTCGACATTATCGCAAGCGAGAGTGCCAAATATTTAGTAGTGCTTACAAATGTGCTGTATGAAGGATTCAGCAAGTCTTTGAAACAAAAGCACATGTGCCTGAACAGTCCCTGTAAGACAAGTTATGGTATTATTATACGTTATATTTTCCTGAGATATGCATTGCTATTTATGTAGGAGAAAATACTCATAAAAATTTAACATATGAGTCACCTGAATTACGAACACTTTTTGGTAATATTTGCGTAAGTCTCACTCTTGCTCTCTCTGCTGTATTTATAGTAGCCTCCAAGGAATCGACAACGATTAAAAAGTGATATAAAAGATAATTTGGGGAATACAACGTGATTCGAATGCATCTTAAGTACTAAATGAGACACTGAAGTTGAAAATGAACATAAAACAAACTGTAGTTTTACAAACATAATTTTATTTCAGCAAATACAGTTAGGCCCTACAGCTAGTGAAAGTCATTTTGAATTGTAAATTGATAATATGACAAAGAAAATTTTCACGACCCCTTGTTCAAACTGCTTCTAACTATAATTTATTCTTGTCTCCTCAAGGCTCGGCTTTTAAAATATAAAAAGACAAAATATTTCCATTTCTACACTTATTCTCATTTTTTAACTATATTGAATAATAATAATAATAATAATAATAATAATAATAATAATGTTTTATAAACTATTGAGTATGAGATATCTTATTTCTTTTAAGGCATGACTGAAAACATTTGCTCGTGCTTCAAGGTGCCACAAGATGAGCTTCTCCAGAAGGTTAACTACTTTGGCTACGTCAGGCTCCTGGGCCCAGAGTTCAATAATACTCATATAATTTCCATGTTTGTGAATGTCTGTTGCCTCGATATTTATGTATTTTTCTAGTTTCTCTAGAGCAACTGATCGTAGATCATTGTTTATCATCTAAACCGTGTATGCATCAACAAGGAGAATAGAATAGGATGGAACACATTATGGCGGTTTCATATACTGGTATTAATCTGTACATGTATGTACGGTATGATTATAGTAGCTGAAGTAGGCCAAAAAGTCAAGCACATTTATCGCCATTTATTTTGGAACCAACATATCAGAGCGCCTTCTACAGATGTACATTGATGTTCCACATTTACAAAAAAAAAAAAATAAATAAATAAAATAAAAATAAAAAATAATAATAATAATAAATAAATAAATAAATAAATAAATAAATAAATAAATAAATTAGGAATGGTATTCCATGGCGTCATCGGTAGGGACATACAATTAGAAGCGACAGAAGTCAATAGGTCGCAATGGGCATGTTTTCTTCCGACAGTATTCTAGCTACCTTCAAGAATGACAATATAGCGCATATCTACGTCAGTTTTGTGATTTTAGACATAGATCCTTTGGTTAATTCCGCCTGAACCCAAGATCCCGCATGATACAAGCAATATTCGCTAAAATAATCGATATACTATGTAATATGCAGCGCACTGCACCTATTTTATTTTAGAAAAAGAGTTGCAGTTAACCACATTATGAATAAACTTGATAAGTCCGGAAATAAACTGAATACAACTAAAAGACAAGATACCGTTTTGATAATCAACCCATAATTCCAAACATTTTCATACTTGTATGTGCACGCTGATGTCTAAAGCTAACTTATTGCAAGTGTGTTTTTAAACGTCACTGCGATATTGGACCTCGTATGACCCCGAATCAAAATTAAATGTATAAATGCTTCATTCCAAAAATTTCACCTATACGCTTACTATTACTAACCAAGTAAAGAGAGAGAGAAAGAGAGATGCGCATGATGGTCCCATGACAGAATAAAAGACCCGTAGCTCGGAGGTCATGTCTATGCTATTCTTCGTCTTTTCCTTGGATTAAATACCCGGTGCCTTTCCTCATCCAAGCAAAAAAGGTTTATTGGGTCCTAGATCCAAGTGAAGAAATTGGTGTCAACAGGATCTGCTGGGGAGCTACATGCGATAGAGAATCGTCTTATCCATGAAAAATGGAAACACTCTGTCGATTGACACAATAAAAACCAAAGATGATACGTATAGACGTAGCAACTACCGATATACTTTTATTGGGCTGCCTTATTGTATATGAACGTATAATTTTTCATTCGTCAAGATATCTCACACTAAAATATACATGTAGTCTGTTATTTATTGTGTTGAATTTTTCAATCAAAGTTTTAAAGACCGTTGTCTGCCAATAATCCCCCTTTTTTAATTAATCAACATCAGTTTCATTTTGCAGTGCAAAGTTGATCCAATCTATATTCTTTGACATTTTTGTCCCTGAAGAGCCTCTATGTGCGATCACCTGTTTCGATGTTTTAAATAATTCACCCAGTTTGAATATAGTCCTATAAATATATGAGCGGTTTATGTATAGAAAAATGAAATAAAATACCACACCTATTTTTTCATGTCACCACTGACTTTTTAAAAATACAACTAATAACCTTATAATCACAGATTGATAATTGATGAATGCGGGGAATAGTTTTCGACTGCGTAGATAATTTTCTGCTATAGGGTTGATGTAAACCAACATCTAAATTATATATTTTTTCACGAAAGATAGAATCAAGGAGAATATTTAATCATTTGTAAATCACTGATATTTTCCCTTTAATATATAAATACCTTTCATCAATTTTTTTAAAAATTTAAATCAAATAAACCTACCTCTAATGTATATCCTTTACCATTTCACTGTTTATTGTCTTTTTCTGTATCTTTCAGTTATTTGAGAACTACCGGTATGTGTCACATAACATGAGCGTGAAAACAGAAAACCATGTGGTGTCGTCGGTCAGAGCACCGAGCTCGTGGATCTGATCACATCATCCACCCCCTCGTATATGTCGGGCCCTATAGTAAGTACCAGAACAACAGGAGGCCTCGCATTTACTCCTGCGGCACTAGTACTTAGTGTTGAGCCCTGGTGGTGGGGGATATAAACAGCAGAAAACGCAGCGTTTTCTGAGGATTCTCGTGCCCTATGTTGCCTCGAATTATAATGCAATATTGCACCACCAATAATTCCAGCGTTTTTGATTAAGAGCGAGGCGCGCCTGAATCGTATTGGGTACTTGGACCCAAACGTTTTTCGCGTGAGCTAGGGTTGTGTGAACCTACCAGGCGATAGTAAGCAGTAGAGTGCAGGTAATAAGTTGAACCAGCGTTACCTGCGGCACTACTACTTAGTACCGATGGCTGCGATGTTGTATCGGTTACATCAACGCAACTTGTTCTCGAGGTCATTCGCGGTTGGTTCAGTGTCCAGCGAGTTCGAGGCATGGCCGGTTACGTGCACTCCGCTTCGTTAAATTTCGAAAAGAAAATTGGACATATGTTTTGTCGTCTATCCTTGCTTTCGACAGCTACTGTGTGAGACTGCTGACGTGTCTGCCTGACGATATTCCCAGTATCATTTGGGAAACGGTGATATGATCAGGGTAGAGAATAAACTCCTAGTTTTATGCAGGTCCTCACAATGTGACAAAGCTTTTTTCAAGACCAGGAAAATTTTAAAAGGGAAATACTGGTAGTATAGTCCATGTCAGAAAACGAGCTGTTGTTTTCAAAAATCGATAAAATCAACTGTTCACGCAGCATGAGGGGCTGTAATTTCACCTTTGTTGAATCTCACTTCTGCTGATGTCTTTTTCGAGTATCTGGTTCCAGTTACCGCCTTACAGCTGACAAAGTTACCAAAAAGCCTCTTAAAAGTTGAGCAATCGAACAATGGATG